GATATTAATATTTTTTGTATGTATTTTTATAATGGTACATTACTTTACATATATTATACTATTATTTTTTTATCGGACTAAATTGTTCTTATATTATTCTGAGACATGCGCGACATAACTGCAAAGTTGTTGATCATAAATATAATTACACATAGGACTCTAAAACGGTATGACCATTTTCCAAATAATTAACAATGTTGACATCCTACTGGCTCCAATTGAACAAGTTTACACATCATAATTTTATCAATGCATTAAAACTTTTAAAGAAATTTGTAAGTTAATTTTTACTATATCATTATAACAATATCTATTGTAACCATATATTTTGAATTATTTATTATCATCCTCTATTGACAGCAATTTTAACAATTGTCATTGGCAAACCCTCAAAACAATATGTCTCAACAACGATTGGAAATTTAAAAAATCAATGATTTCATTATTGTGGATGAAAAGTATGTACGCCACTTTATTACTCTTATTAAATTAAATAAATTAGTAGTTACAACAAAAAATAATACATATGCATTTAATTAATTTAGAATTAGTGTCTATAATGCCATTATTTAAAAGAAAATTATTCATTATAAAAAATTTAAAAAGAGATATAATTTCATCATGAGCTATATTATCTTTATTTTTTACAATTAAAAAATTCATTACCTTCAAATTTATTAATTTATTATCTTGTAATTAAATATGAAAGTTATAATACAAAATATGTTATATATATTAATTTACCAAGTATTTTATACAAATATAATAAATATTAATATTTTGTTCAATACTTTCACATTATAATCTACGACACACATCTCACAACACATGAAGCATGTAACAAAAAAACTACCACTACCAAATATCAACATGTGCTTGTAAGATAAAGAGTTCATAGTACAACTACTATCGTAGTCATATACACAACAAGACAAATCTAAAGCTTCCTACACCATAATCTCATTGCATGATGAATCCCTCTATGCTATCGCCAATAACCCAAGTGCACATGACACACTACCAATTAAAAAAAAAAGGACATGTAATGAAGATACAGACAATGACAATGCTACCAAAAATAGAACTAAGGGTCCGTTTGGAAAGCAGAAAAATGACTTCTGGAAAATGAGTCATTTTCCAGAAAATATTTGCATTTCCTGTGTTTGGCTGCATAATGGAAAACTGTCTTTTGGTGTTTGGTTCATTTTCCAGAAAATGAACAGAATGGTATACTTAAACATTTTAATTGTTATATATATATCGAAAAATATATTTTTATTGTTTTTTTTGTAGAATATAACAATTTGTATTTCAAATTCCATGCAACATAAATTTTGGTTGTATTTAATTCTAATGTCTTTGCTCTCAATCTATCTTTCTAGTACTAAAACTATTGTCACAATATGACAATTTGAAACCACAATTACATATTAGAAACAACATAAAGGAATCAACAAAATCAAGTCTTGAAAGTTAAAGTCCACAAAGTCTTAGGATCCAATATAACCAAGTATTAAGATCCAACATAACCAACCAACTACAAAACATAAAAATAAGTCTTAAAGATTACCATCCAAGTCTTAACATCCATGTTAACCAACAAAAAAGGCATATATAATCTTATCCGAAGAAGAAATAAATTTCTCAATCCATTTTCTCTTCAAACTTGTATTCTTCGCCTTGAAAATCCGCGCATGAACCTCATTTGTCATCAAGTATTCAAATACCTTACATAGGTCATCCCATGAAAGCCATCACCTATGCTCATTACATCCGCAAACAACTGATTTTCATCAATACCGGTATTCAAAGATTTAATTGTTGTGGTAATGTTGCCGAGTTGTTCATCAGTTGCATCCACCTTCAAGTCAAGTGACTTTCGCTTACGACCGGATCTTTGAGACGACACAGTTGATGCATATGTTACTTCCCCTACTTTCTTCATCATTTTGTTCAAGCAGGGTTTCATCATTGTTATCATGCAACATCTCATCAAGAGGATCATCTAAAGTAACATCTGCAAAAGACTTTGCAAAGCGTCCTATGACACAATCTCTACCAACGACAATGGACATCTCATCGTAGTAGTCAATCTTCCTGTTCAACAATGTTTCATACTTGGGAGTTGCCTATGAATAAAAAAAAAACATGAGATATTTTTTCTAATAAAAAAACATTAGATTTATGCAATAGTCAAATTATGATAATAAAATATTGCAGTGATAAGCTCCATATACGGGGGCTTCATCACATGTAATCATTTTCAAGTTATCATCCCATCGAAGACCACTCATGCCCTTCAGCTTGCAAATCATCATCCATGTGTTCTTCATTGTTTTCAAGTGATTCTCAACATGTTTGAGTTCACAGGCAACATTAAATTGCTCAGATATGGCATATGCAACACGATTGAATGAAGAGACTCTAAAATTGTTAGTTGGATTATTGGAATTCCTAGCCTCTTCAGCTAATATCTTTAAAAATACACCCTCCATTGGCTTTGTCCACCGAAATTGTCTAGAAGTGGCAATTCCCTTTCCCTTATTCACGTTGCTATAAAACATAAAAACAATAACATTCCATTGTCTAACTTCTTGTCTTTCTTCTGTTTGGGTATGAGATAAGGGCAACAAGTTATCGTCATCAACATCAACTGTTGCTTGATTAAACTCATCATTAGGATCAACTCCCATAATATGGTTATGAATTATACAACAAGCTAAAATTATATTCCAAACACTCTCTCAATATATGTACGTAAGGACAAATGATGAACATTGAAAAGTTATTTATTATTCTTAGGACGATGAGAACTAAACTCTTTTAAATGGTATCTAACACCATGGTATTGAGTAAGTATTCCATTCCGTATGCCATTTCCAGCATCATCAAGATAATATTTCCCTACAAGTTTACATAATGTGATTACTTATATGGAATAACAAGCAACACAATGTAAAAGGTGATTACATAATTTTATTTTATACCTTCTGGAATTTTAAATTTATTTGGACGTGTGAGTGCATCGTTCAAGACTCGAGAATCATGTGCACTACCTTCCCATCCAGCTAGCACATAACAAGATCGCAAATCAAAAGTGATGGCAACAAATACATTTTGTGTTGTTCCACCCTTACGTCCGCGAAAGCTTCCTTGCATATTAATTTGCACGGATGCACAAATATGGGTTACATCTATTGCTCCTAAACAATCTTTGAAATATGGATAGAATCGCGGATTGCTAATGATTTCATGAGGAGTTACTTCACCGTCCGGTAATACTATGAGGTTCGTATACAAAGATAAAATGGCTCTCAAAACACTTATAAAGTAACGGTGAACTGTCTCAATTGACCTATAATACCTTGACCCAATTACTCGAAAGCGTATATTGTGACTTATTATATGTAAAAATATTAACACTTGTTCCTTAATACTTACGACTCTAGTTGTGCGTAATAAGTTCTTAGTAGCAAGAAGGTCACACAATTTATAAAAGCAAATAGGTTGCATTCTAATAACGCTAATGCATTTGTTATCACCCTCACACAAGATACTATTTTTGTAACTCTCTCACTCATCATCTCTATTGACAATGTCATGTTCTATTTGGTTTCTATTCCTAAGTTGTTGCAATAGAAGAACTCCCATAGCTAGTATAGCACTTGCTGCACCCATAACAGTTGCACACACATGATTTCTATCCATCTATACCAAAAAAAATAATAATAATAATATGACAACAAATAACCACAACCAAGCATAGTATTTTGAGTCAAAGGCCGTAAATCACCAACTAAACATCATAAAAAGAAAATCAACTATTGAGTTATAGAAAACAAAAATGTATTATATCTATTTGCTATGATGTATAACATGAGATACACTGAGAGTTTAAAGAAAGACAGAAAGAAGCAAGAACATGGAATACAAGCTCTTCATTGGTTTCTCCAGCCAGAAACCACTTCTGGTTTCCGGCTGGGAAAACCAGTGAAGAACACCACAAGTTTTCCCACCTGTGGATTTTCCTCCCCACAATCGAAAAATAACTACTCTTTTTATATCTGAGAAAAAAAATTCAAACTGAAAAAGATGAAATATACCTCTGTAGCTTTTCTAGTGTTGGTGAAGCATTTGTGGTTGTGGATTGTTGGAGGAGGAAGTGTTGGTGGAGTTGTCTCTGCTGAATGTTGAAGGAGGAGCCGGAGCAAGTCTGGAAGAAGCAAGCATGTTTAGAAGATATAAAATGACTCCCCCCCCCCCCCCCCCCCCCCAAAAGAAAAATGAAAGTCATTTTCCGAAAAGTTGGCTTGATTTTCCATTGACTTCTCTTCATTTTCCTTTGACCACTCATTTTCCAATCTAGCCAAACCCCAAAAATCCGAAAAATAATTTTCAGAAATCATTTTCTGGGTTCCAAACAGACCATAAGAAGAATTAGAGAAATTACTCAAAAGAGAATTAAGAAGAATTAGACAAATTCAAATCAAAAGTAGTATTTATTTAGACTAAGTATTTAGACTAGCGTTATTACAAAGTTGCAAGTATTTATTTTAGTGACATTATAATCAATCTCTCATATATTATATTGCATTTATATACTTTAAATTATCGATTTAAATAAACAAATTCAATATTTTTTTTATCTATGCATGCATATTTTATATATAATATTGTATTGATATACTTTGAAATACTTATTTAAAAATAATCATTGGGCATTATCCCATTGCGCATAACGCATAAAAAAACTAGTATAATAATAATAATAATAATATAATAATAATAAATAAATAAATAATAAATAATATAATAATAATATAATATATAATATATACTAATAATAATATAATAATATAATAATATAATAATATAATATAATAATAATAATAATAATAATGATACGGAGTAATAAACGAAACAAAGAAATAAAAAAGGAAAAAGCTTTTATTATTTTACGATATAAATTACGGTTTTCTTTATAAGCGCACCAATAACACTTTCTGCAATTCACTGCTGCATTTCTTCAACTCACCATAACCGCGAAATCGGAAGGGCGAAAATCAACGGAGTAGAGAAAGGTCGTTGGTCGGACTTTCCGATTCGTTTGTTTCTTCATCTATGTAGCTCCAGCTCTTGAATTTGCTACTAGGATTTCGATCAGGTAAAACCCTAATGTCTCACTCACTGTCCTTTTTTCTCTTTCTTTTTCTTAGCCAATCAATATTCACTCGATTTTTCCGGTGAATGCTTCGATCTTTGATTTTGCGAATTATTGACTGTTCCAAAATTCATATATACATTATACTGTAATGTGTGAATGTGTTAGTGCGGTTTACGTGGAAAAATTATGCAAGTAACTATTCTCAGCTACTGTTCTTGTCAAGTGGATGCATGATTTTGTAGTTGTAGTTGAATAGCGTTATGCTTTATTTGGTTTAAATAGAAGAGCTTTTGTTGAAAATTGAAGTACCAAGTTTTTTTTTTTCCCATTTTGGGTTTAAATGGGAGTGGTGCAATAAATTTGATTTAGGTTTTGTTACCTTATAACGGGTAGTTTTGAAGGTTTAGTATGCTGAGCTTCTTGGTAAGGATGCAATTTCTTTGTTTATATGTGATAGTTTTGAACTTTCTTGCATAACAAAGCAAAATTTGAATGATTTGTGTATTTTTTTCGTGCTCTCTAGTTTTCTTGATGTATGGACCTAGTATTTTGGAAAGTTTTAATTTTAGGTTATGCAGGTTTGCTGTCTTATTCAAACGAGATGGCAAATCCACCGAATGTTGAGCTGGAAGCTGCAAAGTTTTTGCATAAGCTTATTCAGGAGTCAACTGATGAGCCTACAAAATTGGCTACAAAACTCTATGTGGTTTGTTTGAATTTCTTTTGCATATTATTAGATTATATCTCATTCTTATATGCTTGCATTCTTGATATCATTTATGGTTAATTCAGATTTTGCAGCATATGAGATCAAGTGGGAAGGAAAATTCAATGCCCTATCAAGTCATATCAAGGTAAAGCAATGTTTGACTCTGCTAATTGTGAACTGTTAATTAGTTGTTGCATTGTAATGAGGTATGCCTTCTACAGATGTTTAAATAATTCACTCTTACTTTATTGCTTAGGCTTAGCTTATCAGGTCTCAACACTAATCTTATCTGTCCATCAACATATTTAAGTCACTAGAAAGCTTGCTTCACATCTCAACCATTGACTGTTTAGTAATAGTTTCAAGCCAGTAAATAGCCTCTTGAATTTAATGTTGAGGTTGCATACATGTTCCCCATACTAGAACTGTATACACTTAGGTGGGAGTTTGACCTTTAGATAAATTTTGTTTCTAATTCCTTAGTTATATTTCACAACTAAATGAGGAAAGTCATCAGAAGATTATATTCTCACTCCATTTAGGTGGTGGTATGGTTTCATGTGCTCACGGTGCTAATTTTAAATTATTTGTTTTGGGGAACAGACGACAGGTTTTACTATCTTGCCTTTTTAAAGCTTAGCTCATAGTAATAGCTGCTCTAGTTTTAATGTCCATTAGATCATGCCTTGTAAAGAGATTGCAAGCATGCAGTGTAAACATGTTTTATCTAAAGCAACAAATGAGGTTATTTTATTACTACAGCTTTGTGTTTTGAAAGCTGCTGTTACTGTTTTCATGAATTTATTTTGGATTGTTTTTTAATATACCCACATTATTTATTTATTTTTGCATATAAGGGCTATGGAGACAGTTGTCAAGCAAAACAATCTTGATATTGAAGCTTTAATGTCATCACGGCTTCCTTCAAATGCTGGAATGCAAGTGGGAGATTCCTCATCATCACAATTAGCTGGTAAGCCTGGTATAGATACAGAAATTTATTGGGTTGACATTTTAATATTCTGGATAGGGAACAATTAGAAGTTCATATTTAGTCTAATGTAAAACAGTTAGTCTCCTTACAAGTGAAAACTGTAACTGCAGGGTCTTTGCAAAGGGCTGGGATCACTAGGGACTCCAAAGCAGCTTTGTCTGGGGCTGAGATTATTAAACCAGATGCATTTTCTTCTAGCAGGCCACCTAGTGGGCATGGTATTTATCAAGGATCTGCAGCCAATATAAATGGTAAATATTTAATACCTAATGATTCTTTTGCTGACTTGGTGTTAAAATTAGGGCAATGTATTCCTACTTATTTATGTGGCTGTTGCTGACAAGTATGGACTACCAGCACACAGACTTGTTTGTATGGGCAGACTGAGATGCTAGACAGACAGCAATAGTGTTTGATTCTTAGATGAGATGAAGGTTACTTTTTGTGAATGCACTATGAACTTGTTTTGCATAATTAAAGGATTTGGTAATATTATCACCAAAAGGTGATTCAAAACATTAACTGAATGGATGGAGCAGGAAGTGATGTACAGTGACATGAAATTGACCTTTGGTGCTGGGTGCATTCATTTTCTTTGGGGAGAGAGAGAGATAGAGAGTAGGAGGTGGGGGTGGTTGAGGTTTATGTCCAGTTTGGGGAGACAACTTAAATATGCACTTTTCAATAACTTCAGACGCATGGGTTTGCCATTTCAACTGGCTTTCACAAAGCTCACTTATATCATTAATATAAGTGGATGCAGCTTTTCACTTAGTAAGCTGCACCCTTGACACCTTTTAGTATAGTCTTTTGTAGATTCACAAAAAATAAAAATAAAAAATTCAGCTTTACTGCTTTAATTGCCATGTTTACTTTTTTCTTGGTCAATTTGACTTAAGTTCATGTTTTGAAAATAAAAATTAGATAATAAGAAACTACAGGTGAAGTACTAGAAGTCTCAAGAATCACAACTCAAAATTATTAAGAAATAAACTTTAAAGTTTTGATCAAAGTTACTCAGGGAACAATACTGTACAACCTTTTTGGTACAGATAGAGAGTAGGAGGTGGGGGTGGTTGAGGTTTATGTCCAGTTTGGGGAGACAACTTAAATATGCACTTTTCAATAACTTCAGACGCATGGGTTTGCCATTTCAACTGGCTTTCACAAAGCTCACTTATATCATTAATAAGTGGATGCAGCTTTTCACTTAGTAAGCTGCACCCTTGACACCTTTTAGTATAGTCTTTTGTAGATTCACAAAAAATAAAAGTAAAAAATTCATCTTTACTGCTTTAATTGCCATGTTTACTTTTTTCTTGGTCAATTTGACTTAAGTTCATGTTTTGAAAATAAAAATTAGATATTAAGAAACTACAGGTGAAGTACTAGAAGTCTCAAGAATCACAACTCAAAATTATTAAGAAATAAACTTTAAAGTTTTGATCAAAGTTACTCAGGAAACAATACTGTACAACCTTTTTGGGACAGAGGGAGTAGTATCCTCGACTAACTCCTCTACAATTGTGACAAGAGTGAACTCTGTTTACCCTAGAGTTGCATATTCTTTGTGAAAATGACAGTTTGGGATCTTTATGTACGCTGACTAAATATGTGCGTCTCACAATGCTGCTGCTCATGTTTCTTTTGTAGCTTCAAAAATTCATGGAGTGTTGCCCAGTGCTTCTAATTCATCTCAGCCTGTAGAATCAGGAATTTCAAGCCCTTTGCAATTTGGGAGTCCTTCATATGATAATCATGGTTTGGTGGCAAAAATGCATCAGGATAGGAGTTCAGAATCTTTTCCTGCATCTCCTTCTGCTGATCTTTCTGCTGGTAAATGTACCTCTGGAAGGCCATTAGAGCATGAAGTAGGAACAAGTATGTTGGCAAATGTAAACAACACGAATCAGGTATTTCATAGTCTGTTCTGCCATCCTTCTGATTTAATAAGTTAATTGAGTTTTTCTTTGGATTGTCATTTATTTATTGATGTGAGCCTGAAGGCCCTTGAAGATGGATTAATATGTGTTCTGTTTTGTCTGTTCTATTATGCATTCTATTTTAGTTAACAATGCATAACTAAGTCACTAGAAAATTTCATCCTGATGCAAATTGTGTTAAATAAAAGATTACGAAGGGACTATGATATTCTTACAGAAAATTCATTTGAAATAGTGGCTGCAAAAGTGACTAGGAGCATGCTCAGAAAAAATTCTAGTGAAAGAAAATTTTTATGTGTTAAATTAAAGATTAGGAAGGGACTATAGATTCTTAATACTGGACTGCCATTTAGACTAAACCCTACTCATGTTTTTCCTGTGTATATTTGTGTTGGAAGGGAGGAATGCAGAGCAATGCTTTGGAAACAAGTATGCTTAGGAGTGCAACTATCAGAGACACAGGAAAGTTACCTGTTGCCCAGCCTCCTGCTTCTGGGAACCCGTTTAAGGAACATCATTTAAAACAGCTTAGAGCACAGTGCCTTGTCTTTTTGGCTTTTAGGTATTCTTTATGGGTCTCTGGCTTAGCTTTGCTTTAGTTTCAGAAATTATGCAAAAATTTTCTCTCCTACTTAACTTTTCAGCTACTTTTCCTATTTGCAGGAATGGTTTGATGCCAAAGAAAGTTCATCTTGAATTTGCACTAGGGAATGCCATTCCTAAAGAAGGTAACTATAAGGTTGATTATATTCTTCAAAAATTCAATAGTTGTCTTTCAGTTGGTTGATAAATAAACTGCCTTGCAGATGGAACTCGAAGGGATCTGGTTGATCAGAAAGGGAGGGAGCACTCTGTCAGGGAACAAAGTAATGCTTCAGAAGCCACTAGGTCATTTTTAACTGGCAGAGAAGTTGAGAGACTCGCTTCTGGCCCATCATCGTTGGGAATTCCTGGTGATGCAAACATGTCAAAAGAAGCCGAGAACCAAAATGTGATGGAGGATAGAGGTTGTCAGCTTTCCGTTTCTTCTGAACACGGGGAAGATAGGAGGTGTCTGAGGAAGATGAGAAAGATTCCAGAGGGCGAAACAACAGTGCAAGAAGGAACTGGATCACAGGCATCTGCATCTAGATTATTGCATCCTGAATCAAATTCTTTAGGTGCAACTGATCATGAAGATGCTTCTGCAAACAGTCACCAACTTGGAATGCCTAACCAAGCTTCGTTTGTTCTGAATGCGAGCAAGCAAATTAAGCCTGAATTGAATAATTGGAGTGGACCAGGAGGCCAGACTGAGACTTCTAGGAGTTTGGCATCTGCCCCTACTATTCTTCATGAGTCAGGATCACTAATAAAAGATGCCACAAATCAGTCTCAAAACCCTGTTGATTACAATCAAGGAATTCGACAAGCTGACAATACTTTCCCTAATTTTCCTGTAAGGCAGCAGTGGAAATCTGTCTCAGTGGTTGATAGCCAGTTTCCTAGTACTGTTGTGAGGAATGCAGTACCAGGTGAGAATCTCAATTCTTGCTAGACTAATGCCTAATATCCTGTTCCTAGATAAGTACTCTTTCTAGCTCAATTTGATGCTTGGTTTCACTTGGCATGGTTGTTAAGAGAACTTGAAACATGTAATAGCTGTTGAGGGCACAACTTTTTGCTTCTCAAGATTTTGAAGATTTGTGGTGATCACTCCTATCTTTGGTTTACTGAAAATTCATTTCATTGAAATTACTCCCTGTATCTCAAGTTGATGCTTTGTTTTACTTGGCTTGATGCGACTGTTAAGAGACTGGAATATGTAGTACTTGTTTGGGGCACACCGTCTTGCTTGCCAAGATTTATTGAAGTGTCACCTTTGATCGGGCAAACCTTCTGTCTTGTCAGCCAAGATTTTAAATACTTTTATATAGTGAACTGGTACCTTTGAGGCTTTGACCTATTTGGTAACAAGGAGGTTTGATACAAGCAGAGCCATGGGTTGAATTTCACTACAGCCTTCTAACTAAAGCAAAACAAAATGTAATTCTTGTTTTGTAAGGTGTAACAGTTGGATATGTAACTATTTTTGTTCTAATATTAATATTTTAAAACATGTATTAAATAGTTGAACACCTAACATTTTGGGAAACTGGCTAACAGTTTGGGGAAATTTTTTTAAAAAGTGAGTCTTTAATTTGTGCTGAAGGTAAAATGTTTATTAACTAGAATTTTCAATGTTTCTCATTACACGAACATTGTTTTTTCCTCTTTTTCCTCTAGGTTTATGTGACACTGTCTAGCCTTTATCATATAGTGAATTTTAGCATAAAAATCTGATTATATGAAATTATATGCTGCCATTGTGTACTAAAAGTTAGAATTGTATTAACAGCTCAAGAAGTAGATGAGGAGGAGGAAGATATTTCTTTATCCACAGAAAGGCTACCATCTCCAAGACATACAACATTAGAGAAGTGGATCCTCGATCGACAGAAAAGGAAACTCCTTTCTGAGAGAAAATGGGCTCTGAAACAACAGAAGACAGAAGAAAGAATTTCTGCTTCTTCTTCGAAGCTGAAGGTCTGATGTTTAAACTTTTTACTCATATAATGAATTACTTTCAGTGTACTTTGGTTAACATTGTATGAAATTAGGATCATTTTGACAACCTTTCTTCTGCCGAAACTTTGGAAAGATACCTTTTCAACCTTAATTTGGCTTGTCATAAATAGCAGAGTTTGTTCCCCTCAGTAGGGAAAAATAAAAATTTTACAAGTCAAAGAGGTTGAAATTTTGTGTTGGGTAGATTTCTCTTAAGTGATACCATGTTGGTTAGCGGTTTAGAGCTGGAAATCTTATAAGATGTATAGGTTTTGTCAAATCCTCCACTGGTAAACTATGCAAGATCCCTGATTTTTCTCTTCCAAAGTTCACCCTCTCCATATCTCTGCAGAGCTCTGCATTATCATCCTCCCTTGACTTTTCTTCATCATCATGTTTCATCACATTGGGAAACTCAGGTGATGGTGTAATTGTAAGCTGAGATTGTTTTATTGTGCTACCTGGTTATACTAATACATCATAGTAAACATTTGAGTTTTATGAATGAAATTCACTTTTAAATCTTGACCACACAAGAAACTGCTTTTTGAACTGTAGAAGTTTTATTTCTTCATATAGGGGCCATATAGTGAGGAAGGGAATGATGAAGGATGTTTACTGGAGTTGCTATTTTTTTTTTTTTATGTACTCTATGTAATGTACTCTGCTTTTCTAAATTCTAATTGACTGTTTATGGGGTGTGTATATCTGATACCAATAAGAAAGTGACTACACACATCTTGCTATAAAATTGGAGCCTTGTGCATTTGTTTGAGCATATATGCTGCAACTGTGAAGCTTGCATTCGGCTGCAAGAACTAACTGCAGCTCCTGGTTTCCATTCATATCATGTTACTCTCTATTCTCTCTAATTTTAACACCAGTCATTTAGAATGCAAGAGTTTAGATCTATTTTTTTTAGGTCCATGCTGAGTTCTTACACATTAAAATTTTAACCTAATGATAAAATTGACTTAGAGTTCACTCACAAGAAACCCTTCTGGTGAAGTGGTTAATTGCAATCACGTTGATTGTAACTTTAAGTCCATGGAAGACTATAAGCTAAATAGCGAGAAGCCACTTTTCTTTTCCTATAATTTTTAAATTTTTTGATTTGTAGTGTGGAGTAGGGATGTCAATGCGGGCTGGCCCGCGGGCTAGAATTCTTCAACCTTAGCCCGCCTCATGCAGGCTCGCAGGCCAACTTCAAGAATTAAAAAAAAAATTATAGTATTATTCTATATAGTATATTCTAATAAAATAATATTAGATACTTCCGTGTTTAGAAATTAGAAAATTTTAATTTTTTAGTTTGTTTAATGTTTAGTATTATATATATATATATATATATATATATATATATATATATATATATATATATATATATATATATATATATATATATATAAAATATTGTTAGCCTGCCGCTTGCTTGGGCGAACCTGCGGGGCAGTTTAGGGTTGGCCTGTCTGCTTTGGCCCACTTTGACACCCCTAGTGTGGAGGGGTTAGTGTACAAGACCATGTATGGGCCAGTAGCTTTAAATTTGACATTTTAAAAAAAATAATAATTATCTATGATGATGATGTGTTAATTTGTAGACTATAAAAGTCATATGTTCATTGTCAAGGTCATTAAGAAAGTGGAGATTGACAATTTAGAATTCTTTTTCCTTCATTCTCAAACAAGAATTCTTTTTCGTTTCGATTTCTTTTGATTTTTAACCATTTGTCCATTTAGTTGTAAGTTTAATTGGTTTCGGAATTATTTGAGTTACTGCAATGTCGAGCACAATACTATTCATGGTGCAGTAGCTTTGGATTATAATGACAAGCTACAATTATCTCTTAAGTTAAGATGTTCAAGGACAAAATCATATAGAAGTAGAGATTGACTATTTACTCAAGCTCTTTTTAAGATTTTTATAAATTAATATATAATGAAAGTTATGAAAATTTATTTTTATGTCATTGTGATGCTTGAAAGCATGTCATTATGGTTTGTGCTGCAGCATGTGCTACTTGATTTACTGTGGTGAAGGTATTCTCTATATATTGGCTCAAATTTTCTTTAACGTGTGATAGTTGTGGCTCATTTCCTCTTATTGCAGGAAAGTGTTAGCTCCTCTGAGGATATCTCTGCAAAAACGAAAAGTGTAATTGAATTGAAAAAACTTCAATTGCTGGAGCTACAACGCCGCCTGCGGAGGTAACTGATCTTTCTGAAATTCCTTTAGATGATACATTCATACATTGAAGGTCAAAGTATATATCCCTGTATGGTGATTCAACAAAGATTTTTAGCCATATTTGATTTATCATGTATTGTTTTATTTGTTGGTCTTGATCCCTTTTTTTGTTCATGTGCCAACAGGGACATTTTGAATGATTTTTTCAAACCAATTACTGCCGACATGGAGCGCTTGAAGGCAATTAAGAAAACTAGAATAGGAAGAAGATCTAAACAACTTGAAAGGTATGAGCAGAAAATGAAGGAAGAGCGTCAAAAGAGGATTCGCGAGAGGCAGAAGGAATTTTTCAGTGAGGTTGAAGTCCACAGGTTTGTTATTTTTTAGTTGAGGATGGATTCTTGCAACCTTCAAAATGTGTTGTTAGCTTCAGTCATGGAATCATTTATCTCTTGCAATCACTGTTTCTAATAGTGGTCTTTTTCCTGTTCTGTCAAGAATCTTGCCCTTCTAATCTTTTTAATTTCCTGAATCCAGGGAAAGACTGGAGGATGTATTCAAAATGAAGAGAGAACGCTGGAAGGGTATCAATAGATATGTGAAAGAGTTCCACAAAAGAAAGGAACGGATACATCGTGAGAAGATTGATAGGATCCAACGTGAGAAGATAAATCTTTTAAAAATCAATGACGTTGAAGGGTACCTTAGAATGGTTCAGGTATGTTATTATCAACAAATAACAATATATCGGGTTTTTTGAGGTTGATACTCAAATTATCATTAAAAATGTTTGCTATGTTTCCAATATGCTCATAGGATGCAAAATCAGATCGTGTCAAACAATTACTGAAGGAGACTGAGAAATATCTTCAAAAGCTTGGATCAAAGTTAAAGGAGGCTAAGGGAAACACTGGGGTGGTAGTGGAGGATGAAATTGCTTTTGATGAAGAAGATGAAACAGACCAGGCCAAGGTTCTTTTCAGCCTTCAAAGTCGTTTCTAGTGTTCACTTTAAAATTTATTATTTTATTTTAATGTATGTGCTATGCTTTTATATTTGCATGTTATTCTTCTCTTCAGAATGCAGCACTCTTTTATATCTTGTATAACTACTATATTTAATTTGTTTTGCAGCATTATTTGGAAAGCAATGAGAAATACTATATGATGGCCCACAGGTAATAGCCTAATAATATTTTCCTTCATATTGTCTCGTGGAAGGTTATTTGGTTATCTCTGAGAATTTCCTTATTTTAGCTTGTTACTCTCGTTAGCATCAACACCAAAAGCAGTTACCATTAATCTTGCTTCATATGCCCTCAATTTTGATGTCTAATATTGTCTCGGTAATCTTGGAAAGAAGTTTGAAAATTTGCTGCTAGTCTTAAATATGCTTTTATGAATGTATTCTGTATTTCTGTTTGATTACCCATTCACTAAGTGCATATATTTTTCTGCAGTGTTAAAGAGAATATAGCAGGGCAGCCGACTTGTCTTGTAGGAGGAAAATTAAGAGAGTAAGTAACATGCTATCTATACAAGAGTTAAAATCTTTCCTAAATAAGCAGTATGGTTATTTTCTTAAGCACTTCATAAATTCAACCTTCAATTGTCTATTTTACATTTAGGTACCAAATGAATGGCCTGCGGTGGTTAGTTTCACTTTATAATAATCATCTCAATGGGATTTTAGCTGATGAAATGGGCCTCGGTAAAACAGTCCAGGTATGTGATTATATCATTTATGTACAATTGGTATATGTGGGATTAGCACTTTGTCCTTTGATATTTTAGTCTGTGAGATTAGCTGCCTTGCTTGAAAGAGCTCATGATAACTCATAGATTTACTTGTATTTTGTGGAGTAATCAGATTTCTCACTGTTGCTAGAGGACCTTGCTATCTTTTTTGTAGTCTTGGGAACTTTCTTTCTTTAGGTTATTTCTCTTACCAGGTCCTTTAAATGTGAAGTTAATCAGTTGAACAAATTTTCATATGATGTTGTAGGATGCTATTTTCTTCCTTGTTCTCTGTCATTAATATTTATTGGAAATGTTCAAATAAAAAAAGGAAATAAAGGTCCAAAGCTTTTCCCTCTCTGTTTTTTGGAATGTTGATAAACATGAAAATGCAAAGAAAATTTTATCCTTCATTCCTTTGTGGTAATTGCTTGTGGAAGTGTGAGCGGTGGAAGTGTTTTGGTGTGAACTGGCTGGTGCTAGTTTTTAGGCAGTACTTTTGACGATAAGGACTTCTTTAATTTTTTCTTAATGTTCTTTTGGTATTGGGGTGGCTGGATGGGGGCAAGGATGGTGAATAGTGGATGTAAGTAGTGGTGTTCACAGCTTTGGGGAGCTTGATAGCACGGGAACAGGAAATGGAAATATTGGAATTTGGACACAGGGAAACGGCAATTTAAAAAAATATAAGACATGAAATGCAGGGGAAATGTACAAATATAAAAAACATGTTAGTATATTTGCAAAAAATGGGGAAACCTTTTTCCTACTTCAGGGGTATATTTAAAAAAATAAAGTAAAATAAAATCATTTAGATCAAAAGAATGCGGGTTCTTATTTCTTGCCCCAACTCCTACATGCCCCTATACTTCATACAATGTATATACCCCTAAAATGTAGTATTTTTAATTATGGAACTTGTGGACAATTAATAATAGGGGTATTGTCTACTAGTTCCATAATTAGAGGTACTACATTTTAGGGGTATATTCATTCTTATAAAGTATAGGGGTATGTAGGAGTTGGAGCAAGAAATAAGAACCCTCATTCTTTTGATCTAAATGATTTTATTTTACTTTATTTTTTTAAATAGACCCCTGAAGTAGGAAAAACGTTTCCCCATTTTTTAAATTATGGAAACAGTCTTGAAGCATTCTGGACAATATTTGGGAGTTTCCTTGTATTGCAGTAGGAGAGGTTGCTAGTGGTTTAGAGTTTGGTGAAGTGGAGGAGGTGCGGTCTCTTTTACTGATGATTGTTGAATTGAATTAGGTAGAATATGGAGAGCATTTTAAGTGCTTTGTTTACTTGCTTCGAAGGTGAATTAAAGTGATAGAAATACTAGGCAGTTTAGATCTGTGCTAGTGTGCTTGAATTCCTGCAGCCACAACTTCTACTTTTTTAATTATAAAAAATTACAATGGCGGGTTTAGCTGGTGGGGCCTTCTTGCAACTGTTTAATGTGATGATGGTTTTTATTTTCTCAATTCCTGGGTTCAGGCTCTCTTGATATCTCTCTGAAAAAGAGAATCTTAAAGTAGGGCCCTGTGCACTGGTGGTCTAAATTCTGGTTAAAATTTCTGAATTTCATAGAATAATGGAGGTTCTTATAAGAATATTTTTACAGGTTATTTCTTTAATCTGTTACCTAATGGAAACAAAAAATGATCGAGGTCCCTTTTTGGTGGTTGTGCCGTCCTCTGTCCTACCTGGTTGGGTATCAGAAATAAACTTCTGGGCACCTAGCATCAATAAAATAATTTACTCGGGACCACCCGAAGAGAGACGAAGGCTTTTCAAGTATGACATGAATAATATCCAAATCCATTGATGAAATTCGTTTCATAATTTTTTGAGCTCACTTGTATTCATTAATGTTTGTCTGCTATCTTGTCACTGCAGGGAGAGGATTGTTCAGCAGAAATTTAATGTTTTATTAACAACATACGAGTATTTAATGAATAAGCATGACAGACCGAAGCTAAGTAAAATACAATGGCACTACGTTATAATTGATGAAGGACATCGCATAAAAAATGCTTCGTGCAAGTTAAATGCTGATTTGAAGCACTATCGCAGTAATCACAGATTGCTGTTGACAGGAACACCTTTGCAGGTATTACCATATTACAAATATTTTGTATTGGAACTTTTCTTGTGCATGGCATTAGTGAAAATTTCTTTTCATGGTTTAATCTATATGTACTTTTTGTCATTAATAATTAGAACAATCTTGAGGAGCTATGGGCACTGCTCAATTTTCTCTTGCCAAATATTTTCAATTCTTCAGAAGATTTCTCTCAATGGTTCAATAAACCATTTGAGGGTAATGGTGACAACTCTCCTGATGAAGTAAGTCTTCTAAATTTTTTGCTTGAGATGCTGGTGGTATTTATGATACATATTGCTAATTCTTATTGCTTATTAACGACTAGGCTTTACTCTCTGAGGAAGAGAACCTTTTGATCATAAATCGTCTTCACCAAGTTCTGCGACCATTTGTGCTTCGAAGATTAAAACACAAGGTATGCCTGCCATTTGCTGCTTACATTGTAATTCATGTCTGCTTATAGGACTACTGATTACTAATAGATATTTGCATAATTGCATGCACCTAGTAGACTAAAACAATTTGAACTATCCTACCACAAGTGTAGGAATTGAATCTTTGATTATCAGTATTACTGAGTTTCATATGCAAATGCCTATTGATTTGGATTCTCTAATTTGATACAGCTTTCAGCTGTTCCTCCTATTCCCTCTTAACCCCAGATAGAAAATAATGTTACTAGCATTCATTTGGATAGTGTCATAATATAAATAGTGCTATCTAATATGACATGATCAGTGAAATGAAGTCAAATAACAATGATAACAGGCTACTATGAAATGAAATGGACCAGGCAATTCAATTAGTGGACTCTGTTTTTGTAGAGTAGCATTTTTTTTATTTTTATTTTGAAAGGATTGTAGGGTAGCATTTATTTGGTCAAATATTTGCATTTGTCTGTTTTACCCCATCTTCAATTGATCACTTGTTTGGATGAATTTTAAAGCTTTTGATTTCTTCTGTCTATGGAAGGAAACATATTGGCTTATTTTGAGAAAACTATTTAATTACGAGTGTTGTTGTTTTGCCTCTAGTAGTTGGGAACTGTTATCATTTTCTCTCTCTCTCTCTCTTTTTTTTTTTTTTGAGTGACGAGGGAAACCCGCAACCAGTACCTGAGGGTGTGCACTGGGTAAACCCCGCCTTGTGACCCTAGCTGGCAAAGGACCACAAGGAGGTAGACCAATCTAGGTTGGCCATAGCTCACTGGCTCAAACGAAGAAGGCCAATAGGCCGCTCCCTCTGGGAGTTGAACTTGTAACATTGTGGTTACCAAGTCAACGGCTTGACCAATTTGCCTGGGTTGTCCCATGTTGTCATTTTCTCTTGCCTGACCAGTTTCTTAATTTGAGGAAGATCATCTGATTGACTTGAATGAGAAGGTTTTGGGGGCCGTTTGGTTCACGGAATGCTAGATTACCTTAGGAATGTTAGATTGCTGGGAATGTTAGATTACTGGGAATGTTAGATTCCTGTGTTTGGTTAAAATTGAGGCATGTAATATAATTATGTTTGGTTTAGGGTTATCTTATCTTTTATATATATATATATATATATATATATATATATATATATATATATATATATATATATATATATATATATATATATATATATATATATATATATATATATATATATAAGCTAACATAAAATATATATCTTTAAATAATTAGAATTAAAATGACAAAATTCATAAATATGCAAGGTTATCCTACATTACCTAACAAAATGAAGGGAATCACATTCCCTTCAAAATCCTATGTGGAGGGAATGTTGCATTCCCTGGGAATGTTATATTCCCTCAGAGAAAATGAACCAAACATAGGAATGTAAGCTCGGGAATGTCACATTCCCTTGGTTATATAATATAACCTGAACCAAACGCCCCCTTGGGGTTTTGCTTGTAGAAAATTGAAAGGCAAATTCAAATGAACAACCGTTAAGCAGATGATTCTCTGTGGTGGTGCCTTGGGTTGCGATGATGCAAAATGTCCATAGATTTTAAAATTTTAATGCTAGGATGGGTATGTGAGAATATAATGATAGTCCTTATTTATGTATTCCTTTTGTTCCGCAAAGGCTGTCAGTTTTTTCTTCCTGATGATAAACACAATCTGATTTCTGCCACAATTTTAAAACATATTTCTTTAATATTCTGAATTGTGGTTCTTGATGCTACTAATACTTAATGTCTGATTTTTAATTTCTAAACTTGAAGATTTTTAGTTTCTAAACATAAGTGAAGATTTTGCTAAAATGACCCCAAGAATAGTAACTAGGATAGTTAAATTGGGATTGAGAGAGTATTTATGTACTTAGGGGAACAGTGGCATCCTTTGAAATAAAATTGATAGAAATCTATGAAATGATTTGGATTTGTAATATGTAGACCTTCAAGTGGCCTCTTTGAAAGATTGATAACAGGGCAATGATATGAGTGAAGAGGAAGATGTAGATAGAAACGTACTTTAACTGAACTTAAGAAATACGTGATAGTCCAACATTGGTGGCTTCAGCACTTCAGGCATGATAACTCATAACTGAATAGGATCCATATTTACATATAGTCAATGTACTCAATCCCAACGATTGAGGTGTGTGTCTAGTTGAGAGTAGTATTTCTGCATGTAAAACATCAGTGCCGAATCCTTACAGGAGGATGCTATTTCACATCTTAAGTGCCAGTTTCAAGTGTTTACAGGCAAGTTTTTATGTTGTATTCTCTAGTGCTGATAGTTTTCCCTTTTCAAATACTTATAATAGGTTGAGAATCAATTGCCTGAGAAGATTGAGAGACTTGTTAGATGTGAGGCTTCTGCATATCAAAAATTGTTGATGAAGAGGGTTGAAGACAATCTTGGTGCAATTGGAACTTCAAAGGTTGCTTCAACTTTATTACTCACCTTTAAACACTTGCTTGTATTTGTTGCTTGCCTGCATATTCTATAATTGGTTATAGAAGATTATTTTAATGTGCTATTGTTAATTTTAATTTAATCATTTCATTTTATTTTATATTTTATACAATATTCCTCTAGTCTTGCATGTGTATATAAACTTCTAGGAGCAACTCTGTTTTTTCTACCATTTAACCTTTAATTTTACTGTTTTATTAGGCTCGATCTGTTCACAATTCTGTGATGGAGCTCCGTAATATATGCAATCATCCATATCTTAGTCAACTTCATGTAGAGGAGGTACTGCTCCCTCTAATTCTCTCTATTTAGTTTTTGTTTCTTGTTTACTGTTTTTCGGTTTTTTTAAGAATGTTTATCGGTAAGGGCAGATTGATTGCATGGTCCTGCACTCCTGCCTGGGACGAACAGTCTAACTGATAGATTCCACTCAGTTGCCAACCCTAGTATTGTTATCTAAATACTCCAGGGGGGATCTGTTGTATGTAGAAGTTGGTTTGTGACCATTGCATTCTTTTGCTTAAATGTTCTTGAACATATTTTTGCTATTGTTAGGTTCATGAGTTTATTCCAAAGCATTACTTGCCATATGTGGTGAGACTTTGTGGGAAGCTTGAGGTGTTAGATAGACTACTGCCGAAGCTGAAGGCCACAGATCATCGGGTATGTCAATACTCAATAGTTTTAAATGTTCATAAAGTAAACAACTTAACATTCATAGTTACCCACTTAACCCAAAAAAAAAAAAAGAATTTATTCCAGTTTTGGATGCTTGACTATAGCCATTTCTACCTATGGTACTTAGACTTCGATATTTTTTCGCAGTTAGTGCTCGGTTAAATATTTTTTTTTTTTTTTTTTCTACTTTTGGTCTTCTTCCCAGTGTTATCTCCAGGATCTCTGGTGACATTTTCCATCAGCATGTCACTAGAGAATACTGTCAAAAGGAGCATAACTGGAATGTTGTTTTAAAAAAAAAAAAAAAAAAATCAAAGTGGAGCACTATAGGTAAAAATGCCACTATAGTCAAGGGATCAAAATTGGAATAAACTCCTGAAAGTGTGTGTGTGTGTGTTTGTCTATATATATATATATATATATATATATATATATATAGATCATATGAGAACCAACTTACCCATGAGTCCATGAGAACCAATTTCATCCATTAAAAAAATAGATCTATGGATAAGATTAATTGGGGGATTAAAAATGCGCGTGTGCATATTAGGCATTATGATGTGCACATATTAAGCATGTCCCTATGTTACACCCAACACATGCTTAATATGCACACATCATAATGCCTAATATGTACACATGCGTTTTTAATCCCCCAATTAATCTCATTCATAGATCTATTTTTTTAATGGATGAGATTGGTTCTCATGGACTCATGGGGAGGTTGGTTCTCATAGGAACCTCACCGTATATACACACACACATAAGTGGAATGGTGTTTTTTCTTGTCCTCTGCACTATAAAAATGTTACTACTTGCTGCCTTTGTGGAATCGTCAATGCTCGGTAGAGATGCTTCATTTTTGTCTGCTTAAAAGAAATCTGTTGGTTATGCTTTCTTTTCCCTCAAGAACTAAGGCTTATTAAGTGGAATAACCTCCAAAAAGGGAATATACATATGTACTCCGTAGTCTCCGTATATGTTATGTGAAGTGTTTTTGTTTTCTTTTCACTATAAAAATGTTCATACTTGTAGCATTTGTGGAATTGTAATGCTAAGAAGAGATGTTTTCTTCTTCCTTCTTATCCTGCTTAAACTAAATCTGTTAGTGTTGGTTATGCTCACTTTTCGCTGCGAGAACCATGGCTGTTCGAATCAACTGGCTGTTATTGAGATTTGTTCTTTTTCTAGGTCTTGCTGTTCTCAACAATGACTAGACTTCTTGATGTGATGGAGGAGTATCTCTACTGGAAACAGTATAAGTACCTTCGCTTGGATGGACATACATCCGGGGGTGAGCGAGGAGCCCTTATTGAAAAGTTCAATGACCCTAATTCTCCATATTTTATATTTTTGCTAAGGTAATTAGCAAATTTACAGCAATCAATTAGATTTGCAGTTCTATCAAGTTAATAGGGGAGTTTTTCTTTTTAAGTTTCTTCAATATTCCTGAGTAGGAGGAGTGAAAGGAGATAATGATATATAGTACTTAGTTCAGAAACCTTTTCTTTCGCGAACATAAATAATTAGGTTGTCTTCCATTTATCTGTTTAGTAATACTTGATTTGAGATGCTCATTTATCACCATATATTTGGTTAACTTTTTCGATTTAATTTTATATAACTAGAGAATCTATCATCCTAGATGAGTATTTTGACTAGATTGAAAAAATAAATTGTTCATAAATAATTGTAAACATTTAGTTTGACTCCCACAGCTTTGCTGCCACAAAAAGTTTCATAGCTCCTATTTCATATATGCTAAGTGGAATATTTTTCAAATTTAAGATCGGGCTTACTATCTATACAACTAGGTTATTGGTCTAAAATTTTATGTTGTGAATTGGGATTTCCTAACATTTATATGTTTGCATTTGCCATGTATTCATGTGTATCAAACTGACTAATAAGAAGTTTTTTCCAGTATCCGGGCTGGGGGTGTTGGAGTGAATCTTCAAGCTGCTGATACAGTGATAATTTTTGACACCGATTGGAATCCACAGGCAACAATATAAACACCTATATCAACAATCTTTTTATAAATTCTTGAATACCACAGAGTATCTTATAAATTGTTTTCACGTTGTTGGTCTCAGGTTGATTTGCAAGCACAGGCAAGGGCTCATAGGATAGGACAAAAGAAGGACGTTCTTGTTCTTCGATTAGAAACAGTACGTACATTGCGCCTCAATTTAGATATGAAAGATTCATATTTTCTTTTGAATTTTCTGGTGGTGGGTCTATGTATGTTATTGTTAAGTGATAACTAGGCTATTTTATAAAAAGATTGGAGATGCATACATAGAGCATAAGAATTCATGATTGCAGGTTGCTGTTTAAAAAATTAATATTGTTCATAAAAGGACCTTTTTGTAATATGGAAATGGTGGATAATATTAAATATTTTTTTTTTCCTGTTTGCTATTTTTGAAAGATCTTTTCTATCGGTGTGGAGATATGGTGTATAATATCAAATGTTGGTCAATTTTTTTGGCTATTCTTTTGTTGTGAGAATGAATTTTTGTTGGAACCATTTGTTGAAGGTGAAATAGCCCATGAATATTCAAGACCTCTTATTCTTGTTGCATTCTCATCCAATTTTATTAGCACCAATCTTAATTTTGGAAATTGCATTCATGACTTATCCTTTTCCAATATATGAGTTAGGTGCAAACAGTGGAGGAACAAGTAAGAGCTGCTGCAGAGCACAAACTTGGAGTCGCTAATCAGAGCATTACTGCAGGCTTCTTTGACAATAACACAAGGTCATTTAAAAAGATATTTTAATCTGAATCTCACCATTGGCATAGCACCCTGAATAAATTGCATGTAATATGCTTGTTTGAATTGTAGTGCGGAGGATCGAAGAGAATACTTGGAGTCCCTCCTCCGGGAAAGCAAAAAAGAGGAAGCTGCACCTGTGCTAAATGATGATGCTCTAAATGATCTTATTGCACGCAGGTGAACAACTTAAGCCATATGTGATTTGTTTAGAAATGGAAATTATGTCAAATGGCTCCTATAGACAAGGGCATTATTCACATACCTCTGTCTTCATGCAGTTCTCTCCCTATTTATCTACTGGCTGTAATATGCTTAATAACTTTCTGGCAATTCTTTTTGTGTTTTAGGTGATGTTATATTAATAGAAGTTTCTTATATCTAATTCCCCCATTACATTCATTTTGGATATCACATGCAAGCTGAATGCACTTATCTTCTCCCTTGCCCTCCCTTGGTTTCACATTTATGTCACTTATCCAAATACTCTTGCTGCGTCCAGAACTGGCTACATAGAATTTCTGATATTTTTTCCGTACTTCCCCTAAGCTGTCTAATATTTCACTTTCTTTTGTCTATTTAGTGAGTCAGAAATCGATGTGTTTGAATCAATTGACAAAAGGAGGCAAGAAGAAGAGATGGTACTTACTGAATACTTGTGATGATTCTGCAGTCTTTTGCTTTTTCCCTCTCTCTGTCTGTCGAATTTCTCATGAGTATATAATTTTTCCCAAGTTTGCATGCAGTACCTCTTTATTGAGAACTTAAACTTAAATTTCAGGTAGTATGGAAGAAATTGTGTTCAGAAAAGGGGGCAGAAAATTCTGAGTCTGTTCCTCCTTTGCCTTCTCGACTTTTGACAGAGGAAGACTTAAAACCATTCTATGAAGCGATGAAAATATCTGATGATACACCAACTGTGATACCAAGTACTGGGGTAAAGCGGAAGGGTCAGTATCTTGGAGGTCTTGATACCCAACATTATGGACGTGGAAAAAGAGCTAGAGAGGTTAGTCTATATTGTATATTCTAGGGAATCATATGCATAAACACACAGGAAAAGACCCATTTGAACCTTATAGTTTGCCACTTAAGTTTATTCCTTTATGTTTCACTATAAACACTTTTAGCCCTTAAATATACGTTTTTGTAACTCAAACAACCCTATACCTAACTGCTGTTAAGAGTCACATGTAGGATACATGACTATGGCCTTTGAACTTCAACCTAACTGATAAGTCTATACTGGTGATTTCTTCAATTTTGGTGGGTACAATAAAGGGGCAGATCAGGCAATTTCTTCCAAAAGCTATGTGCACAGATCTTTATTATTGGATTTGCTGCCTTGGTCACACAAATCAACATCTAGCATTTGCTCATCTTTCATGTGAAGTCCATTATATGTCTGGTTATGGTCTTATGGAGATCAAGAAACTGGCTACTTCTGGCAAGTACTTAACCGAGCTTAGGTTTTGGGGTTATTTATGTTACAATATCCATCTGGGTTAAAAATTTTCATAGTTAAACATAGAGTACTAAAATTGAGTAAGTGGTAAACTATAGGTACCGAATGTGCCTTTTCATCCATATACATAGTAGTTTTTAATTCCCTGAGGTCTTTATATATACGTGTGTGTGTGTTAACATTATTTTATTCTAATTCCTAAGGTGCGCTCCTATGAAGAGCAATGGACGGAGGAGGAATTTGAAAAAATGTGTCTTGCTGAGTCTCCTGAATCCCCAGTTGCAAAAGACGAAATGTCAGAAAAGAAATTGCCCGCAAGTAGTAGCTCTACCGTGGCCAATGCTGAAGAGCAAGTTCTACCATCCATCCAGTCTTCGGAACAGACTCCAGTACCTATTGTTCAACACAGCACAGAGGTTACCCCACCTTCTAAACGTGGCCGTGGGAGGCCAAAAAGAACAGTGCCAGTTGCTAATGTTTCTCCGCCACCTATTACAGTACCTGCAACCAAGGAAAGTGATGAGGTGATTACAGGGTCCAATATACAAAATGCTTCTAGCTGTCCAGTGACTCTTGCTCCTCGTCCAGAGTCTATGCCTGGTTCTTCTGTGGAAGGTGTGACTGGAACCATCCAACAGAATACTACTACATGCATTACTCCTACTTCTCAGTCCATTTCTCTTCCAGCTGTTCCTGCTGTACCTCAGCCAAACCCCCCTGGTCATCCCACCTCTGGTCGAGGCAGGGGACGTGGTCAAGGGCGAGGTCGAAAATCTCAAATTGGAGAAGCCCCAAGGCGCCGGGGTAAAAAACAGAATACAATTATACAAACTGTTCCTGTTTGTCAAGGCAATCCTGACACTGTAACACAAACAGTGAATGCTTCAAGTTCCTCCAGAACTAATGATCAAGATCCAGTTCCCCATTCTACCACTGAGATGGAAACTGGTAAGGGACAAAGTTCAGTATCACCTGCTCCGCCTAAGGGACAAAGTTCAGTATCGCCTGCTCCGCCTGCATCTGTTAGCAAGGAACCAACTATTGTTTCGGGTCTTCCTGTTGTTGCACCATCTTCGACAAGCAAGGAGCTGAATTCTGTTTCACCCGTTCCTCTGGCTTTGGCTTCTACTGGCAAGGATGAAAACTCAGTTTCACCTGCTCCTGTTTTTGCATCTTCTGCCAGTAAAGAATCAAGTTCACATTCAGCTGTTCCAGTTATTTCATCTTCCCCTGCAGCAAGCAATTCTAGAACAGGTTCCGAGAGAGCACCAATTACTCCCTCTCCATCGGTTCTTGGTTCTGTTTCTTCAGATAATTCTTCCACCATGGGGGTTGTCGGTAAGCAAGATTCTGGTAATCAGCTAGCTCTTACTTCTGGACCAGCAGCACCAATGCCTATAACAAATACAGTTCTTCATGCTTCTGCTCCTACACCTGCCCCCAAGCAAGGTAGAGGACGTGGGCGAAAACCTCAGACAGGAGGGGAGGCCCCTAGGCGAAGGGGAAAGAGACAGGATTTGGCTACAAATGTTGGTTCTGAAGTATCAGCTAATCAGATTTTAGAATTAAATGAACCCCCACATAAGAAGTCCAGGGTGTCTGTTGGGAGGAAGCCCACCACCCGAAGCAATCCGGAAACTGAAGCTTCACTGCAGACAAATTTGCTCAATCCTGTTACATCTCGAATAACTAAAGATCTTGGTAGCAAAGAAATCTCTAATTCTAAGCACAGTAGGGAAGTTGAGGAACAAAGTGCTGTCAAGCTAGATCCATCTCAAACTCATGATGCCAAAGTGAATGATGATATGAGTACAAGAAAAGAGCTCCATTCTGAGTCTCAAGTATTGGAAAGAGAAACAGATGAGAATCTGAGAGGTAGATGATATATCCCAAATTTTTCTTGTACCAAGTGATTTTAAAGTGACTATGGCTGTGTCGAGTTCTGAAAAGTTGATCTTTTGTTGGTAATTTTACAGGTGAAGAAAATAAAAGTGAGTCAAGGAATGATATTAGTGGAAATGTATCAAAAGTTGCATCTGAAAGTTGTTCAAATGCTGTTCAAAGTGCCGAAATTAAGCATGATTCCGTGTTGATGAAGGATGGAGTTCCTCAGCAGATTGAAAGTCAAAATTCTCTTAGGGTTGAGTTAGGCAGTTCCAAATCTGGAACAGAAACTGATAGTTCTAAGATAAATGTTGGTAAGAAGGCCATACAGACTGCATCAATTTTAGAATCAACTGCTGTGGTTGGCAAGTCTGCGAAAGAAAAATGTGAGGGCCATTCTGGGAATAAAGATGATGAAAAGGAAGAACAGAGACTGACAAGTGTAGTCGGCCCTCAGGCATCTTCTCAAAGCAATGCTGAACCTGCAACTATACATACTCACAAAACTGAAGTTGATACAATTGCAGTAGTGGAGAAGGATGTCTCATCTAAACCTAAATCAAGAAAGTCTCAAAAGATTAAAAGAGGGAGTAGCACTTCTTTTTGTGTCTCGGCCAATCCCTCTATTGAGGTTAACAAGGTGGAAATCACGACAGAAACTCTTGTTACAGCTTCAGGTTCTGAATCTATTATTCCTGATGATCTAGATCAGAAAGGAGATAGCAAAATGCCCGTAGGCAAGACTAGTGCTACAAATGGGGCTCTTGGACTGAAGCCTGAGTCTATTGTTTGTTCAAGTTTGCAGAATAAGTCCTCAGCTTCTAAAACTCCAGGGGAAGTAGATCCTGTTTTGGAATGTAATCTTGATATGTTGGATGGGGATAAAAGTGACACTAGCAAAATAGAGAGTGACAATCATTTGGCAAATAACTCCATTGATTCAAAACCTGAAGTGACTGAGGATGAAAATAATCCTGATAAAGTGGATAGAAAAGAACTGGACCAAGAAGATCCTGTTCTGGAGGTGGCTCCTATCTCAAAGCCAAAGGGGACTGACAATCTGGACGGCATGACATCCTCCATTTTACCATCTTCTGAGGCAGATGTTCTTGTTAGTGTATCTCCACAAACAGAATTGGTGATTCAATCTTCAGTACAGTCAGATGTAGGACAGGGAATGGGTTCTCTCACAAATGATTCTTTAGCACAAGTTTGCAAGGTGCCTGAGCCAAAACCTATTGCAGATTCAAGTGGCATTGAGAAGGTACAAACTCCAACTATGCAAACTAGTGAACTGCAGTCTGAGAGGCAAACCGCAGTTGCCAAGTCCCTCTCAGATAAGTCTGACAATGATCATGATGTGCAAGCTCCAGAGATAAAAAATGATGTTTCTGAAGATGGGGCAAACCCAGAAACTAATGAATCACAACCTAGTCCAACTTTGCATACTAGCGAATCTCATTCAGAGATGCAAGTTACTGTTGCTGGATGCCCAGTAGAGAATTCTGAAAGGGATCATACTGCACAAGCTCAGGAGATTGAAAATAATGTTGACATGGAATCTCAACCCTGTCAAAATTTACAAACTAGTGCTTGTCAATCAAGGCCACAAACTACTGTTGCTGAATCCCCCATAGATAAGTCTGATAAAGATCATTGTGCACAAGCTCAGGAAACCCAAAATGATGTCTGTGAAGATGCAATGACCCAAGAAAGAAATGTCTCCCAAATTGGAACAGATGATAAGGGGAACATTTCTAATGCTGATGATGCTTTGCTTCATCTTCCTGTGGTCTGTGAATCTGAAACTAAATCAGCTGTTGAATCATTTGAAGTTTCTTTAAATCCATGTAACATTGAAAAAAATACATCTTTGGCTGTGCAAGGCTCTGAAAGTTTAGAGCCTGCAAGAATAGAGCCACAGTGTGAGTCTGACAAAGATTTGGTTGCTGAAATTGAGGAGAGGAAGATTTCAGATGTAGCCAATTCAAACCAGGTTTTGAAGGAAAACATTGAAAGAATTCCTAATGAGGTAGCCACTTCAGACGATACATCTCAACCTTGTGTTATGGAAGACATGGAACGAGTTTCTAATGAGGGGGCCACTTCGGACAATGTTACAGTTGAACCCCCAGTTGAATCCCAAAATAGCCAAGGGTCCAAAATGGCTAAACATGAGGTGATATCTGAATTGAGTGAAACTCAATACAATCCTGCCTCTGCAACATCAGAAAATGAGGCTGAAGTCCATTGCTCTACAGAGAACCAAAGCAAGATAAACACTGATGTAATTTTGGGGGATATTAAATTTGTTGATCCTAAAAGTTCTTCTGTGGATGACCATGCAGTAGATGAACCAGAGAGCAAAAAGTCTGATGCAAATAAAGGTAGTATTTTAAACCTGAAATAAATTAAGCTCAACATTGTACTTCTGTTGAAGTATTTAAAAATCACTTAGAATTGCTTTTGTCTGCAGAGAACCAAATGGAGATAAACGCTGAGGTAATTTCTGGGGATATTCAAGGTGTTGAGCCAAAATTTTCTTCAGTGGAAGGCCTTGCAATAGATGTACCACAGAGCCAAATTTCTGATGCAAATGAAGGTATTTCAAAGCCTGAAGTAAATGAAGGTGAACATGCTACTGCTTTTGAGGCATCTAAAAATGACTCAGAAATAGAGTGCATCTCTGATGATTTAGGAACAGTAACTTCTAAAGAGGCTACTTCAATTGGAATTGTTGGGGCAGGAGAGAAGTTGGAGGTAAATGATGATACTTCATACCCATTACCTGGTGAATCTAAATGTAGTGCTGCTCCTAGGGCATCTGAAGAGGACTCTGAAGCACAACTGATCTCTGAGAATCTGGAGATAGTTGAAGTTAGAGTTGTGACAGCAGCAGAAAAGTCTGAGAATCCCTGTGGGGAGGATTCTGCAGTTCAAGTACAAGAGAACCAAAGATCAGATAAAACTAATGATATTTCAAATTCTGAAATTAGTGATCCTGAACAATATATTGCTGCTGAGGCATCTCAAACAAAGCAGATCGCTGAGAATGTGGAAACTGGACGTGTTAGGCAGGCTACTTCAGTTGACTCTGGATTTGTAGCAGCAGCAGGAAACTCTGAGAATCCATGCGGGGTAAATTTTACCAATGAAGTACAAGATAACCAAATTTCTGATGGAAATAAGAATGTTTCAAAAATTGAAATTAGTGAACCTAGTATTGCTGCTGGGGATTCAGAAATTGTATTTGAAATGAAGCAGATCTCTGAGAATGTGGCAACAGAAGCTGTTAGGGAGGGTACTTCAGTTGAAGTAACTGCAGAGGAGAAATCTGAGAATTCATGTCAGGAAGATCTAGTGCCTAAAGTGCAAGTGGAGCAGGACATTGATGGTAATGAACATATTTCTGATCCTGAAGCTGTTGAATCTTCAATGTATACTGTTGCTGAGGCATCTGAAGTTATGACAGAAATGGAATATACATCTGAGAAATTGGAAGCAGAAACTGCAAAGGAGACTACTTCAGTTGATTTTGCATTTATAGCGGCAGAGAATTCTGAGAATCAAATTGGGGAAGACATTTTGGTTGAGGAACAGGTAGTCAATAACAAAAATAAAGATAATTTGAACCCTACTGAACCTGAACCTTGTAGTGCCACTCAGGCTTCAGAAGTTGAATCCAAAATGAAGCAGATCTTGGAGACTGTGGAAACAGAAACAATTTTAGATGATACTTCAGTTGAAGATGTCACTTTAGCAGCAGCAGAAAATTCTCAGATGATATCTGAGAACATGGGTATAGAAACTGTTAGGCAGTCTACTTCAGTTGACTATGCAGTTGTAAAAGAAGCAGGTAATTTTGAGGATCCATGTGGGGAAGTACTGAGGAACCAGGTATCTGATGAAAATAAAGGTACATCAAACACTGGAATTGCTGAACCTGAACCTAGTACTGCTTTTGGGGCATCGGAAACTCATTCTGAAATGAAGCTGATCTTTGAGATTGTGGAAACAGAAACCGTTAAGGAGGATATTTCTGTTGAAGTTGGTGCCTTGGCAACAGAAGAAAATTCTGAGATGATCTCTCATAACACAGAAAAAGAGATTGCTGGGGAGGTTTCCTCTGTTGATGGTGGAGCTTTGGCAGGAACAGAAATTTCTGAAAATCCATCTCAGAAAGATTTTATGGTTGAAGTACAAGAGAATAAAAAATCGGATGGAAGGGGTCATGAACCTACAACTGTAGCATCTTGTAATGAGGTGGAAATCAAGCAGATTCCTCAGAACTCTGAAATGGTTACTGCTAAGGCTGTTACGTTACTTGAAGCTGAAGTTGTTGAAGTTCCAAATGAGAACTTGGAAAAAATTCCTGAAGACTCTGCAGTTGAAGTCCAAGAAAAATTTTACGATGCAATTGAAGATGTTTCCAATCTTGAAAGTAACAAAGACCAAAACAGTCCAGTTGGAACGTCTGGAACTAAAGATGATTTTATTCAGATGGCTGTTGAAACTTCAGAAACAGTTACTTACAAGGAGACAGTTTCGGATATTTCTTTGGCTACAGATCTCAAGGGAGATATTTCATTTGAAAAGCCTGTTGATGGCTCTCATGGGATTCCTTGTATTAACGATGATCCAATTGTAGAATCAGAAGTAGGAGACTGCTCCACTGCTGCTGATGAAGGTTTGCCATCTGCTCTGGAGGGTGATGATAAAGACTTATCCCATCAATGACTGATTTTTATCTCCTCACGTTTTGTCATTTGGTAAGGCTTGATCCTTGATTTCTTAGATATGGAATTATTTCCTGGCTCTACCTCTTGCCTTTATGTTTCTTTTTCTTACTATGTTTCTCTTTTATGAGATACATTTTTTTGGTGGGACTTTTAGATAATTTTTCAATTTCTTAGTGAGAGGACATCAAGATCTTTACCTGCAAAAAGAATTTAGTTTTCTCCTTAGTCAATATGTCCTGTAGCCTGTAGGTCAATATCAATATATCATAGTGATTTATCTCACTTAGAAGTTGCATGGACAATAAATCTTGGTTTGTCAATGTTCTACCTTTGCATGTAATAACTGTGTTATTGGCACTTTAAAATTATCACAAAGTGGTTTAGCCTGTACAGGAGGATTTATTTTCTATATTCTTGTCTTCTTCAGAGATGGATATCATCCAGCAAGAGCTCAAGTAGATATCAATCTTACAGTTAGAATAATTTTGCAAGGTATATAGCTCACTTTTTGTTCCTGTATTCTTTTCCTTGTATGGGGCCCAACAGGTTTGTTTGCAATGCTTATATCATGGACTGAGGTTCACATAGCATGATGGGCTCCTGGTACAAGTTCATTTTTAGTATACTGTAGATTTATTTTTAGTATACTACTAGTTCATTTTTAGTGTACTACAGGTTCATTTTGACTTGCAATACACTAAAAATGAACTTTGCATCAAAATATTAAACCTACTAAAAATGAAGTATACCAAATTTAAATCTACAATATACTAAAAATGAACTTGTAGTACACTAAAAATAAAATTGCACTATACTAAAAATGAACCTGTATCGACGTCCACCTTGCAATGTAGATCTCGGGGTGCGTGATATAATTTGTCGTTTTGGTTGTATGGGGAGGGGGGTTGGTTATTTATGATTTTTGTTGGTTAAGATTGTAATGATTCTAAACCTCTTGTTAATTTGCTGAGAACTCTAATCTTTGTTCCAGGATGTGGATAGATGATTAGATATGGATGCTTATGTTTTGGAGCTACCTAATTGCTTCTAGATCCTAAGAATTAGATAGAATGACCAAAGTATGTGTAACTTTTATGTATTATCTGTAAAATAGTGGTGTAATTATACAACTTCCAGACACAAATGCCAGCGAAGCCTTTGTACCAACAAATAGCATTATTAACTTATTGGTATCAAATGGGAGCTTTGCTTCTCTAGTCATGACTCCTTGTGTCTGATGAGATTGGCTTATTGACAGTTAATTCTGAACTAGCTGTTTTAAAGTATATCCTCCGATTGGACTTACACTCTAGTGGTACCAAGTTGTTATTTCATATGGGAGGGAGGTTGTGTGTTTGAGAGGTGGCATTGACTTTTTGTTTTTTAGTAATGAATATATACTATATTGTAATAGAGTCGGTAGTACTAAAAAAAAGAAGTATATTCCGATTCGAAAATGTTTCGGCTCTGAAATTCCTTCAAAATTTTTTTGTGCTTAAAAATACAAAGTACGCACCTAATGTTTTAAAATGACTAACTTTAAATTTCGCCACAACTGATGCACCTTAAGCATACAAATCATGCACCTTAAGAAGAAAAATCACGTACATTAAGTTTCAATAACTATTCACATTAAACTCAAAATCCACGCACCTTAAGTTTTAATAAATGCTCACGTTAAGTATACAATTCACGCATCTTAAGCACAAAGGTCACGCACCTTAAGTTTTAACAAATACTCACATTAAGCACATAACTCACGCACTTTAAGTACAAAATTTACGCATTTTAAGCACAAAATCCACGCATCTTAATTTGACCTAGATGCAAAAATTATCAAATTGTTACTGTATTTTTTTAAAAACTTTGGTAATCCTAGACATTGATTTAAGCATGATCAATTAGGATAATACTTGTTATAGTTGTATTATGGAATTCGGAAGTTCACCCGTGAAAACCGCTTTCTTAAATGGTGAGTTAGATGAAGAAATCTATAAGAAACAACCCAAAGGGTTTGTTGTTCGGGCCAAGAAAAGTGAGTGTGTAGGCTGGTTAAATTGTTATATGGTTTAAAACAAGTGCCTAAATAATGGCACGAGAAATTTGATCATGCGATGTTAACCAATGGATTTAAGATAAACGAGAGTGATAAGTGTGTCTACGTTAAGGAAATGATAGACGATTATGTCATTCTTTGTTTATACGTAGATGATATACTCATCGTTGGTAGTAATGATCAAGTCTACCGAAAAAATGTTAAATGTGAGATTTGGCATGAAGGATATGAGTTTGGTTGATTTAATCATCGGGATTAAAGTCATTAGAAGGCACGATGGTCTAGTGTTAAGCCAACTCATTATATTGCTAAAATCCTTAGGAAATTCAACAAGGATGATGATCAATTGGCTAATGCACCGTTTGATACAAACGGTCATCCAACCAAGAACCATGGAGAGTGTAATTCTCAAGTAGAGTATGCCCAGTTTGTTGGTAATTTGATGTACCTTATGAGCTGTACTAGGCCGGATATTGCCTTTGCGGTTAGTAAACTCAATAGATATACGAGTAACCCAGTGATATGAACTGAAAGGCAATAGTAAAGGTTATGAGATACCTTAGGTATACTTGTGACCTTGAACTAAACTATACAAGATATCATGTTGTATTTGAAGGGTATAGTGACATTAATTGGATATATGATATTAAGGACTATAACTCCACGAGTGGCTATGTGTTTTCACTAGCCGGTACAGTCGTATCGTGGAAATCCTTGAAGGAAACTGTGATAGCCAAATCCACGATAAAATCTGACCTGATAGCCTTAGACAAATGTTGTGAAGAGGTTGGATGGCCACGCCATTTTCTCGAGGATGTTCCTAGTTGGAAAAGACATGCACCTCCAATATGTGTGCTTTGCGATAAGTCAAGCCACACTTGGTAGAGTACGAAGTCATATGTATATATCCTAAGTCTAGACATATACGTCGTAGACATAATACCATTAAACAATTTCTTGCAACTGGTGTTGTCTCGGTTGACTATGTGAAGTGAAAAGACAATATATCGAATCCATTAACCAAAGGGTTAAGTAGAGAGTTAACTGAAAAGTTGACACGAGGGATGGATTTAAAGCCCTTGAAATAAAGTTCTATAGTGGGTACCAACTTAGATGGCACCTAGGTTAAATGAGACAACTAAATTATAGAGCGAAGCGTGTCACTATGGGGGTCTCGAACTCCTTACCACTCCTTGTTAGAACAGTGACTCCCGCACGGGGCTAGCACGATGATGCTTTAATGATTTGAATGTCGGTTGACATGTGTGAGTATGCGGGATACTCATAAAAGAATCACTTATGTGAGAGAGAAGTGAGTGTCGCTTCAAAGAAGAATTGATTGGGCTCAATTCTCTAGAAGCTCTTGAAAAACTAGGAACAGTGACCCACAACCAAAATAGGCACAATCATGAGAACAAAACAGGGTTGGGAGGTTCCTGTGTGAGATATATTATCGTGTACACAAACGGCAGTCAATTCAAAGACATCGCGTTCTATCGTACAACTAGTAGAGTAAATATATCTTCACAAGGGAAGGTTCAAAGGGTAACGCCTACCTATCCTATGAAGGGATCGACCGTTGAACATAGTCATTCCATTTTAAAACAATCCCGAAAATCAATTTTTCATTCATGTGGGAGATTGTTGGAAAAATAGCATAAAATGACATTGTAAGTGGCATTTTTGTGATAAAAATATTATTGGGGTTCACTTCTGATTTGGGTCAGATCAAAGTCGATTCGGGTTCATTGTAGTGAGACGAAGAGATTGATATATTGTACGCTCAAAACGGATAATGGATGAATGAGAAATTGATTCTCAAAGTAGGCCCATTTGAGTTGGAAAGTGAAGGTGAGAAAGCTTTAAAGTAGCCTTTGTCCCACATTGGTTTGGGAATTGGGTTTGCACCACTATATATACAAGAACCTTTTTTTAAAGCATATTGAATTATATAGCATAGAGGTTCTCTAATGTGTGTATGGGAGTGCAAATCAAATCCCAAAAAGTGGCTAGCTTGTCAACTTGGCACCTTTAGGAGGTTGCAAATTTTGCTCAACTTGTGCTAACAACCTAAACCATTCTTGTGCTTGTTATATTTTTATATTTGACAAAACATATAGTGACAAGATTCAATCCATGTGAGTTCCAGAAGAGTCAAAAGATTATTATACAAAATGTTTACTCTAGTGACAATTTAGCATATTTGTTCACCAAATCCCTTTCTACAATTACTTTAGAAAGACATGTTTATTATATTAGAATGTGTAAGTTTAGAATATCGTTATCTTCGGGACCGAGGGAGCTATATTTCCTTGAAAAATCTTGAAGATGGAAGACTAACCGTTATACCTTCTTTTCTTTTTTTTTTTTTTTTTGATTGAGCTTTTATATAATTTTCTTAATTAAAAGTTTTTTAACGAGACAACTGGTGTAACACATGAATACACATGCACCATGTACTCTTTTCCTCAACTTTTAGATTTTTTCTCATTAGTTTTTTCTAGTAAGGTTTTTAACTAAACATGAGTATGTTGTAATAATGCTCGAAGGGGGAGTGTTGTAAATAAATAAATTTAAAAATTATTAGATGACTTTTATTATGATAATATCATTTAATCATTTATAGACTTTTAGATTTACTAGAACGTTGTTCTCGTAAATATTGGATTGTAAGATGAATAATAAGATTTGATTGTTTTATCTCACTACATTATACAATGAGAACAATACAACAATTCACATGAGAAAACGTGAATTGTGATTAGGATCCGTTTGGAAAGCAAGAAAATAACTTCTGCAAAATATTTTCTGGAAAATGAGTCATTTTTCAAAAAATATTTTCCATTCGAGCGTTCGGTTGCATTTTGGAAAACTTGGTGTGTTTAATTTATTTTCTGGAAAAATGAGTAGAATTGTATGTTTAAACATTTTTACGGAAAATGATTTCCCCCAAATTTTGGGGGATATCATTTTCCGCCAAAATAGCTTCATTTTTCCCTGTCAACGGAAAATATTTTCAGAAGTCATTTTCCGAATTTTCAAACGGACCCTAAATGACGAGTAATTTTTTTTGAATGTAATTAGAATGTAGTATTTGTTCACCACCTACTGAAGCACAAAGAGTCAAAGCCTCACACTGAAATTTAAAACTGAGATCTCTCATTTGAACGGTCACAGCTATGCCGCTCGACAGAAGCCCTTTGACTTTTTGCTACTTGAGTAAGAATGAAAAAAAAAAAAAATCTAAATTTTGTTGGTTAGAAAATCTAACTCTTTAGTAACGTTTTGTGTTAGCTCTACAAATTTTCTTTCAAATAAAAGTCAAGCTCTATGCACGTAACCTGCACAATTTATTAATTATTCGATCAACAAAATATATTACAGAAAAAAAAAAAAAATTATTACAGTATAACACGATTTACAATTCATGATATGCTATATTTTTGCTCTAGAACTTAAGCCTTATCATTTTTCCTTCCTAAAATAGCAGTCTTCTTTCTAATCTTCTCAACTTTCGATCAGATTACATCGTCAACCGTCTTCTTCCAAATCGCAAGTTTCTCTTTCTCAAGGGTACAATTATCATAATCTCTATTTGGCTCATATACGTATATATATACTTGCACTTTAGTAGTCCATGGTTGTTTTCATTTGGGTTTTGTATTTTTGGGTAGGGCATTAAAGAAATGGAAATTTGTTAATAATTGGGTTTGTGGCAATGGGTTCTGTTTTGGGTAAGTTCAAGTTGACATCTTGAATGTTTTTCTTCTTTGGTCTGCGAGCACATCTGAATTAAGTGAACTGAAGATATGGTTTTTCTTAGTAATTTTTGAATTCTGTTAGTAATGCTGAGTGTAGATTGAAGATTTTTGTTGGATACAAGTGTTGATTTTAAGTTTTTGGTGGTTGATAATTTCAAGGGAGAACTTTTTCTTCCCTTCCCGATCGGCGATTAGCAAGTGTTGATTCAGACTATTAGGAATTTAGGAGTGAATATGAGTAGCTCTGGTCTGGGTAATGGATTTTTGTCGGGTTACTCTGGTGGATTCTTGGGAATGAATAGGCCTCAACAACCTCAATTGAATGGTAATGATGTGGGTAATAATCGTATTCAATCATCAATGGATCTTAAGATGGAGCTTGAAAACGGGAAGCGTATTGAGCTGCTGGAAAGTAAGGGTCCTGCCCAAAAAGGTTTTACAATGACTTTTGGTAAGGATAAGAGAGTTTTTTGTAATAATGATATGAGTGATGAGGATGAGCCGAGCCTTGCAGAGGATGGGAATGGCGAGAACGAGGATGAGGCACCGGGGAAAAAGGGATCTCAGTGGCAGAGAATGAAGTGGACAGATAGCATAGTTAAGCTTCTCATACAAGTGGTTGCGTATGTTGGGGATGACGTTTGTTTGGAGGGTCCAGAGGGTTTGAAGAGAAAGTCCGGTTGCATTCAGAAGAAGGGTAAATGGAAAACGGTCTCAAAAATTATGATAAGTAAAGGTTGTCATGTCTCACCCCAGCAGTGCGAGGATAAATTCAATGACTTAAACAAGAGGTACAAGAAATTGAATGATATTCTCGGGAGAGGTACTTCTTGTGCGGTGGTGGAAAATCCTGCTTTGATGGATTCGATGCCTCAGCTCTCTGCAAAGGCCAAGGACACCGTAAAGAAGATACTGTGCTCAAAACATTTGTTTTACAGGGAAATGTGTGCTTACCATAATGGACAAAAAATACCAGATTGCAGTGATCTTGAGTTACAAATTCATTCTTCATCAGTTGCCACGCACTGTTCAAAGGATAATAATGGCTGCCCAGGAGACGAAGCTGAAGAAAATGATGATTCTGTGGACGATGAATCCGGTGATGAAGAAAATAATACTGCTAGTGGTGATGCAGTAAAGACGGGAACTTGTTATGAGAGAAGGGAAAATGAACAATCTGTTGATAATGATTGTTTTGGAGTTGAAATAGATGAGTTCTTTCAGGACCCTACAAAATCCCAATGGGAACGGAAAGCATGGATTAAGAAACGGATGCTACAATTGGAAGAAGAGAGGGTTGGTATTGAAGAAGAAGCCGTTGAGTTGGAGAAAAGGCGATTTAAGTGGCAAAGATTTTGCAGTGAGAAAGATAGAGAGCTCGAAATTGAAAGATTGGAGAATGAGAGGTTGATATTAGAGAATAAGCGGATGGTACTGCAACTGAAACTCAAGGACCACGAATTAGACCTTCCAACGCCCTGTGTCCCTTTCAAATCTGGTCCTCTCAGCCTGGATAGGCCATAAGTATCAATAATTCCCCAGCATAGGAGATCTGTAAGTTTTCCAGTCAACCTGTAAGGTATAAACCTAACTGGCAGTGCACTACGTTAAACCTACTTTCTGTAAAATAGGGAAAGTTTCTTTGGTTTTTGTTGTGATCATAGCTTGAACTCTTTGTATTTAAGCATTATTTATGACTCTTGATTGTTAACAGATTTTATTCCATTTTTGTTTTGATACTAAATCAGCTTGCTTCTTAATACTTCATATTTCATTGAGAAAGTAAATCTTGCTTGCTCCCACTTCTGACGTTCAATGGTAGCATAATGTTTTCATATAGTCAAAGCTTATATGAAGGTTGTTGAAAAATAAAGAGTTAGGTTTATCTATAGGGTTGTGTCTGTTTATGAATGGTAGTTCCTTACAGTTATGTGTTTGTATATATATATGTACTATGTTTCTTTATTAAAAACACAGATAATACTAATATATTTCAGTCTTATATACATTTTCTATTCCTTGATTCTTCATCATTGCTTCCGGCCTAACTGGCGGGTGGTGTTATTCTCCACCCGCCAGGCCATTCTATCTTCCAAATTCAACAAAGGTTTCCTAGGGTTGCTATGAGTATGCCGTTCGTTAATAAAGCTCGAGATTATTGCCCATGGGTACTGGGTAGGTGATTGGAGTGAAACTATTTAATAAAATTATCCATTAAATCTGTAACTCTTCTCTAAACCCGGGAAGCGTGCATCTCTTGTTGAAATTGTTAATCATTATCTTTAGCTTTAACCCTGATTTTTGCATGTCTGTTACACATAACTTAGTTTAATAGATCATCCTGCAAGGTAAGGTAATCTCGTCCCCTCTCCTCAATATTTTTCTCTTGCCTGTCTGTGGATGATGGATCGCGTTACAACATAGGAATATACCAAGAAAGAGTCATCCTCCTGATGCCGGCATGATATCAGGTGTTCCCTGAATCTTTTACGCAATTGTCAATTCTTTCATGATGATAACTGTTTCCCTAGAAGTGTTATTTTGATAAATCTGTGAAGTATTGCTGCAGTTTTCCAGACTTTCCTATCTATCATTCTCAGAATGTATTGATCTTCCATGTTTGTGAAAAGTGCATGAATCACTTGATTAGACATTGCTTCCATGCAAATGTAAAATTGTAAATATCAGTTTTATTACGTTATAGGTTATGCTACTTGCTCCAATTATAAATTAATGATAAGTGTCGTATCATTATCTATCTGCAAATCTGATTCTACTATGAAGATGAATAGCCCATAATTGGGGACACAAATTACCTCAAATGATTTGGGGGAGTAGCACTACCATTAATTACATGTAGTTTTGGGATGGATCCTTAATGTAGCATTGTAGCAACATGGCCACATGCCCACATTTAAGGAAATGAATGAGTTGCCCGCATGGGCTTAACTCAATGGTTCAGTGGGCAGTATTTGGGAGAAGAGATCAAGGTTCGAATCTTGGTGGCGGCAGTGTGAAAATTATGTCCAAAGCGGGCAGATTCCTTGTGCGTACCGGTATTTGGCCCTGTCTGCTGAACCATATTGAGTCACTGTGATTTATATCCTGTTTTTGGGAGAAGGAAATGAATGAGTTGTATGCTTGAATTTTTTGGTATATAATAAATGAATATGTCTCAAGTCAAGATCATTCCTATTTCTTCTTTAAATGTCTAATGTACTTGGTTTGGTAGACAAATGTATTTAATATTATTGATGTTATAACTTCGATCATTATATCGTAGACTATTGAAAGGGTAATGCTCTTTGTTTTTTCAAATGTTTTGGCTTATTGTAGCAATAGAATAGACATATGTTCTTATGCAGTTGAGTTCCTCAACTTGGGTTACTATCTTAAATCTTTAAAAGTTGTATTATACCATTCATATTCAACTTCATATCATTTTGATATAACTATAGTTTCGCTGGATAATATATACTCAAATATGCGAAATTATTATTCAGTTTCATTTTAACATAACTACAGTTTCATTTCAATTCAATTGTAGTTTCATTTGATAATATAATAAAAATAATACATAAAACAGTGTCAGTTAGATATACTGTGTAATGTCATTTTCAGAGGTTGCTTCTTTAATTCAATTAGTATGCTTCTATGTATCCTTAAACTTTGCCAACTACTTTTTTTTTTTTGAATGCTACTAGCTCTATTACATTGTAGTATCTGTTCATATACTTTCTCAACCTACTGAAACACAAAGAGCTAATAACGCCTCCACTGAGGCTCGAACTTACAACCTTCCAAATGGAAGTCCAACCCGGGTACCATTGGACCACATAGTTATACTAATTGTAGGTGATACTATCTATTTTAAATTGTTGTGGTACGACAGGAATAATTTTTTTTTCTTTTGAAAGTACAGGAATAAAATTTTTATGAGCCAATAATGTTTTAATTTATGAATCGCTTAGTCATCAATGTAAAATGTATTTCCATATTTATGAGAATTTACATTTGATGAAGTCCAAATCCAACAATAAGCCCAGTAACAACGCAATGGCCCAATAAAGGGTTCTATCAATCGTTATACCGTGCACCAGGACGCACATAGCAATGTGCACTCCGTGCCTCTTGAAACGACGTCGTTTTGTTAAGTTGTGTGGGGAATTAATGCGACGAAAATATATGTGTATTCAGTTATAAAATTCTGCATTTTCAGGTATAAAATTATGTACATTCAAATCAGGGGATTTTTATCATTTTAAAAAAAAATTATGTGTTTTCAGGTATAAAATTATGTATTTTCTATTATATAATTCTGTACATTCGAAACATGAGGATTTTCAGTTATTAAAATTATGTGTTTTCAGGTGTAAAATTCTGTGTTTTCTATTATACAATTTTGTACATTCGAAACATGAATTTTTTTTTAAGGAGTTAACAGCAGACACGCGAAAAAAAAGTACAAAATGACGTCGTTAATAATTTGCCAGGTTCTATAATACCCAATTACTAAGGCTCAAGTTAAGAAAATCCAACAAGTTTTCAATTTGTACATTATTGTGTGGACCATATTTTGTATACTGTAAAATAATGTACATTCGATATAAAAATAATGTACTTTTAGTATATTAAAAATGTACATTATATTCAGGGAATGTACATTATTTGTATACTGAGTGTATATTATATTATATAATGTACATTCAGTACACAAATAATGTACATTTAGTATATTAAAAATGTACTTTTTATTAGTCACTGTGTGAACCATGGTCTACGCAATAATTTGCCCATTCAAACTTATTAGGCTTTACGCAAATTATGTAGTGGACTCGTGTCCACAATGCATTGTGGACAGGAGTCCAAAACGACGTCGTTTTTAGGGAAAACGCGTCATTTCAGTTTTTAAAAAAATAATTTGATTTTGTCTCGCCGTTAACGGCGTTATTCGTTTGTGCCATTATGAATGTACAGTTATGGGATTATGAATGTACAATTATAAAATTATGAATGTACAGTTATGGAATTATGAATGTAAGTTATAAAATTATGAACACAGAGCTCTGACATTATGAACATATAGTGATAAAATTATGAACATAGAGCTCTAAAATTGTGAACATCGAGCTTTGAAAATTATGATTTTACAGTTATTGAATTATGAATGTACAGTTACGGAATTATGAATGTACAATTATGCAATTATGAATGTACAATTATGCAATTATGAATGTACAGTTATGAAATTATGAACACAGAGCTCTGACATTATGAACTTACAATATGAACATATAGTGATAAAATTATGAACATAGAGCTCTAAAATTGTGAACATAGAGCTTCGAAAATTATGAAGTTACAGTTATTGAATTATGAATGTACAGTTACGGAATTATGAATGTACAGTTATGGAAGTATGAATGTACAGTTATAGAATTATGAACATAGAGCTCTGACATTATGAACTTACAATTATGAACATATAGTAATAAAATTATGAACATATATTCCTATAACAAAGCGGTCTGAAATTTAAAAAAAAAAAAAAAAAAAAAAAAAAAAAAGAAAATAACAGTGCCAGGCACTGTTACCCGTGTTCAGCATGCATAACGATTGTAGCATAACGATTGTAGGCTTTAAGAGTGGGCTAAGAGTTATGAGACTTTTTTTTTTTTTTTTTCCTGAATTGCAGTTCCAATAATTAAAGAAAACTCAAGAATATGTAAGGTTGTGTAACAGCCCTGAAGGATCAAACAAAGAAAGAAAATGGAGAGAAGGAGATTGCAGAAGAAAAGGGAAAGATTTGCATAGAAGAAAAAGGGAAGAAAGTTAGAGATAAAAGAGGATATAAAAATGACAATTCATATTCATTCAAAAGATCATCCCGCAGTCCTACAATACTGATCCCTATATTTTAGCCATCCAACAAAGTTCTGAATTAGTGGAAGGAATATCAAGAAAGGGATAACAGAAAAGATAACAATAAGAAAATTACACTACAAGAAAAATGTACAAAGACAACAGTTTTTAACAAAAGTGTTGTCTTTTGTTTAAAAGACAACAGTTTTGTCCAAAATCGTTGTCTTTGACGCAACACTTTTGTCAAAGACGATGGTTCTTACCTAACTGTTATTATAAGTGTGTTGTCTTTGTGCATTTTGTGAAAAAGACAACACCACAACGACAACGGTTTTTTAAAACCATTGTCGTTGGTGTGTTGTCTTTAAGCGCACTTGAATACACTACACTGCAAAGACAACGGTTTTTAAAAACTGTTGTCTTTGTGCGCTCTTTTTTAAAAATACAATGATTTTATTTAACCATTGACGTTGGTGTGTTGTCTTTAAGAACACTTGAATAAATAACACTACAAAGACAACAGTTTTTTAAAATTATTGTCTCTGCGCTTAAAAAAAAAAAAAAAAAAAACTATGATTTTATTTAACCGTTATTGTTGGTGTGTTGTCTTTAAGTGCACTTGAATACACAACACTACTAAGATAACAGTTTTTTAAAACTGTTGTCTTTGCTTGCTCTTTCTTTTAAAGGACAACGATTTTTTTTAATCGTTGTCGTTGGTGTGTTGTCTTTAAGCACACTTGAATACACAACACTACAAAGACAACGGTTTTTAAAACTGTTGTCTTTGCGTGCTCTTTTATTTTTTTTAAAGACAACGATTTTATTTAATAGTTGTCGTTGATGTGTTGTCTTTAAGCGCACTTAAATACGCAACACTAT